GAAAAAAAAAAAAAAAAAGAAAAAAAAAAAAGGGTTCCCAAAGTTTTTCGCGATGGCTGCCCACAGAGAGAGATAGTATTATTTATTGGGCATAGTACGAAAACATTCTTCTATTTGGGTAATTACAGCCACTTTTTTAACTATGCATTATCTTACAAAAATACTCCTTTAGAAGTAAATTTAGGGATGTTAAATAAGTAAACCTGAAGTGAGGTTTCGGTACGCCAACATTTTATACCGTTTGCCGAACTGAATATACGATTTGGTTCGGTAAATAACCGAATTACATAAATTTTATGTAAACATATTTAAAAGGAGAAGGCTGGCTGTAATTACCCAAATAAGAGAGATTTTTTTGTAATTCTGGCTATACCTCAGGGGAGTGGCTGTAATTTACCCTAATTTTATTGTTTAAACTTTATGTATATACTTATATGTGGAAAATCAGATAAAAGTCCCCCTAAGGTGGTGTAATTAAAGATAAGGATATGATCCTCTTTTTAATTTCGATTAAAGTACCTGAATTTATATTTTTATTTGGGCTGTATATATCTAAGTCCCTCTACTTATTTAAATCAGTTGACCAGTCAATTGATTTATGCGACTCGACGTAACTCAGGTTAAGAAGGCGGACAAACCAATACTTCAACTGCAACGTTTGAGAGTATAAGGGACTTTTAACCGACAAAATTGAGAGGGTGCAATTGCAATTTGCCTGTAAGGTATATCATCGTCTAATGATCTTGCCCTCGCGGTATGTCGACTATAACATAATCTTTTAGATTCTTCTAAGAGTATTCGTTCAAGGGGTGTAATTGCATAATCTTTAATTTATTAGGGAGTAAATTGTAAGTCTTTTAAGTTAATTTACAACTTAGTTATAAGTATTAGATAAACAAATCAATAGTATTTGAATTGTATATATACTTGTGACTTAACAATTAATGATCCATATGGTGTGACAACAAAATCATCAAAGTCATGAGTTGTGACTTGGCTAGTGAGAATACTTGTTGTTGCTAGTATACACGTGTCACTAACTAAGGATGATGATTTGCATGTCATCAACTATTAATTGATAGCACTATCAGATTCTAATATAGGAATTTACTAAACACTCGTGAGCACTAATATACTCTTTCATATATCGAGATAATCAGATTTTTGCAAGTTGTTAGTCATATATGTTCTTCAATCACGCCTTCATCCTGTTTAACTAACTGCACTGTACTTCGTTAGATTCATCCAACTTCTTCAGTTGCTGTTAGTTTTCATAAGCAATTATGTTAGATAGACTCTCGATCTAGCGTCAGATCACAAAAGCAATTAGTAAAAATGACAAATGTCTTTAAACGTATAAAAAATATTTTTGAGGGGCTTTCGGCTAATTTTTCCCAAATTAAAATTTATAAAAATACTATGCAAATAAAACAAAATTTCGAGATTTGCTTCTCAAATTTGATCGAAAAATCAAGCCCAAATTTCAAACAAATGTGGCAATTAACTTGTAAACAAGTCTTGGAATTAATAAAATCATCAAAATCTTGAAATGCTCCAAGGAATAATCAATCCTCGATCACTTCTATAAAATAAAAGACTGTAAATTAATTAATTAATTCATTAAAGACATCGAAATTAGTTTCTAACACATATCTTTATAATACTTAATAATTTGTGGTCATCATTTAATAAGAAGAAAACATTCCAATTAAAAAATGTTTTATCATGTCAACTCACGGTATATTCCTTATCAATACTTTTTGTTGCATCACATCGATCATTACACAACACATATACATACATATACTGTATATATATATATACATGCATATATATTATTTTTATAGAAAAAAGAAAAAAGAAAAAAGAAAAAAGAAAAAAGAAAAAAGAAAGACATGCTTCCGAGTAGGAACAAGTTGTTTGATGTATCGATATATATATATATAATCCATATACATACATACGTATAGAGTTATAGAGATAGAAAGAAATGTATGGTCATCGTCGTCGGCATTCCCAATGGATTTGTGTGTGTGTGTGTGTGTATTAGTGTGAGAGAGAGAAAGTAGTGCATGCAGATGCGGCAGAGGTGGGGGAGAGGAGTGAGAAAGTGACTTGTGCATGGGGGCCATTATCTCTCACTCATTCACCCGTTGTTTTCACAGTTATGAACATCAATTTAAGTTTGAAGATATACAATTTATTTATTTATATTAGGGTAAATTACAACTACTCCCCTGAGGTATGGTCAAATTTACGAAAATCCCCTCATGTTTGGGTAATTACAAGCAAAACTTCCCTAACTATAAATCTTCTTACACGTCCACTCTTGCGGTTTCAAATTTAGTGGAATCTTCTTGATTATAAGGAATATTATCACTTTTGTACCCGTTATATCCCATTCGAACTCTACATTTTGAAGCAAGAAGATCATAAATGTGTTTTTTGCTTGTATATATATCAGATTGTGGTGCATCAGAAGCTGTATTTTTGCACAAAACGAGTACAAACTAGAGAACATTCCATGGAATCTAGATGATTATGTTGAATTTGACACTATAATGGTGGAGGTCTAAGAAGATTCATAGTTGAGGGGTAGATATAATATAATTATCCAAACAAGAGGGGATTTTCGTAATTTAACCATACCTCAGGGGTGATTGTAATTTACCTTGTATATTATTTTCACCTTTTATTATTTTATTTTATTCTTAAATATATTCCATTTTCCCTAATATATATTGGTAATAGGAATTCAAATTAGGGTGGACTTATAATTAGAAGTTACGGAGCGGCCGTGATATATTTTTCTCTCTTTCGATTCATTCACATGCAGTAGCACAGAATAACTACGCGAATTACCTTGTGATGGAATAGTTGATGTGTTCGGTGATACTTCTATGACAAGAGACGAAGCAGAAACCTTGGAAAAGAACAGATACGCATTAAGAATGTAACGCGGAGTATCAATTTAAGGAAACATATTTTGGCCTTAATTTGTGGATGGTTAAATTACGAAAGTTCCCCTCCTGTTTGGGTAATTACAAGCACCCCCCTCAACTATACATCTTCTTATACGTCCACTCTTACGGTTTCAAATTTAGTGGAATCTTCTTGATTATATGGAATATTATCACTTTTGTATCCGTTTTATCACATTCATGCTCTATATTTTGAAGCAAGATGATCATAACATGTGTTCTTTGGCTTGTATATATCAGATTGTGGTGCATTATAAACTGTATTTTTACACAATACGACTACAAGATTCAAACTAGAGCACATTCCCCAGAATCTAGATGATTATGTTGAATTGGACACTATAAGGCTATAGGGTGGAGGTCTAAGAAGATTCATAGTTGAGGGAGCTAGTAGATGTAATTATCCAAACAAGATGGGGATTTTCGTAATTTAACCATACCTCAGGGGTGGTTGTAATTTACCTTATATATTATTTTCACCCTTTATTATTTTATTTTATTTTTAAATATATTCCATTTTCCATAATATATATTGGTAATAGGAATTCAAATTAGGGTGAACTTATAATTAGAAGTTACGGAGCGGCCGGGATAATTTTTTCTCTTTTTCGATTCATTCACATGCAATAGCACAAAATAACTACGCGAATTACCTTGAGATGGAATAGTTGATGTGTTCGATGGATACATCTATGGCAAGAAAACGAAGCAGAAAACTTGAAGAAGAACAGATACGCATAAGAATGTAATGCGGATTACTAATTTTAAGAAACATATTTTGGACATTGGGGATGGTCAAAATTAAATTATTTGAGCTTGAACACAACCTTGCCAAAGGGTGGCTACGCCACTGTGCAACCGACTATCGATCGAATATAGTGTTCTACTGTATTAACAATATTTTTAATAGTGGCAATCAAACGAGTTCTGAATTGATTAAACTAATTTCTTGATACAAATTTAATCGATGGATAACTTTAAAATTAAGTACGACACATGTGATTTACCCAGTATTCTAAAAATCGGTCGATGCGGCCGATTAATCGGTCTCCGAGGCGGAGGCGGTCTAAAACCTTTACGATTTTAGTGTAAAGGTTTGAAAAATCGGTTTTTTGCCTGTGAGGCGGTTTTAGGCGGTCTGAGGCGGTCCGAGGCGTTTTGAGACGGTCAAACCTTTAAGGCGGGTCAAACTCGGTGGCAAAAATCGGTCAAAAATCGGTTAAAAATCAGTTTTTTTTTTATTTTATTTTTATAATTCAAAATAAAAGTTGGATTTTAATAAAAGAAAATATGAGTTTATGCCTTATTTTGTTTATGTTAATTATTGTTAAAGAACTAATAATGCGAAGAATGTTCAAGAATAAATGTAAATTCAAAAAAATTGTTTTTTTTATTTCTATTTTATAAGGATATTTATGTATTATGATCTTATAATTAGTAAACTTTTATTATGTTATTAGGATATATACATGATGGAGATATAACTATGTTTAAATATCTTTTTATATATATTTGGAGTATTTATAAATAATATTTAGAAATATATTATATTAAATTTTAAAAACCGATTTATTTCTGATTTATTTCCGATTAATCGTGAGTCGGTGCCTGACCGACTCGGACCCGATTACCGCTTTTTACAACCTTGGATTTACCTAGTGCACCTCGAATAGATGAGAATTC